GACACAATCAATATTTTATTCCACTCCAAAATTACAAGTGAAATAATACTAAAGAGAGAAGATACAAATGCCTTAAGAAGATAAAAGGCAAATGAGAGGTGTGTTTAAATCCTAAACATTAGGCCTCCTTTTATAGGGTGAAATTCTCATTCAAAATTGTCATCCACCGATGTGGTACTTTTGCCAATTTCAACATATTGCTGCTAAGGATTTAACACAAATTCACAATTTGAAAGGTCAGTTGAAAAGTAAATTTGAGATGAAAGATTTTGGAGCAGCTAAGAAAATCCTTGGCATGGAGATCAAAAGAGATCGAAAAGCCAACGGGCTATTTTTTACCCAGAAAAAGTACTTGGAGAAAGTCTTGGAGAGGTTTGGTATGAAAGATGCTAAACCAGTTAGTACCTCTCTTGCTGCTCATTTTAAGTTATCAGTTGCTCAATCCCCGCAGTCAGAGGAAGAAGAGAGGTACATGGCACAAGTTCCTTATTCCAGTATAGTCGGCAGTATTATGTATGCAATGGTTTGTACACGTGCAGATATTTCACAAGCAGTGAGAGTGGTAAGCCGGTATATGGCTTGCCCTAGTAAAGCACATTGGCAGGTTATGAAATGGATTCTCAGATACTTGCGAGGTACTTCAAACATACGTTTGGAGTTTGGGAGAAATACTAACACTTTGGTTGGTTTTGTAGACTCAGATTATGCATGTGATCTTGACAAAAGAGGATCACTGGCATGCTACGTATTTTGCATTGGTGATTGCGCTATTAGTTGGAAAGCTACATTACAACATGTAGTAGATTTATCTACTACCGAAGCATAATATATGGCAGTGACCGAGGCAATCAAAGAAGTCTTATGGTTGAAGGGTCTATTTGCGGAACTCAGTTCATACCAAAGTGGTCTTACCATTTTCTGTAATAGTTATAGTGCCATTCACTTGACTAAAGATTAGATATATCATGAAAGGACGAAGCACATTGATATAAAGTATCATTTCATCCGAGAAACCATTGCTGAAGAAAAAGTCTCTATTCAGAAGATCAACACTAGAGACAAACCTGCTGACATGTTCACAAAACATCTTCCAGTGTCCAAGTTCAAGCTTTGCCTGAACTTGATTGGCATTTATGAAGAATAATTTTTGCCCATTGGGGTTTTTGCGGAGAAGGTGGAGAAAATTTACTATATATAAGCCGAAATTAGGCCAAGGTGGAAATTTATAATATGACCGTTAATTTGGCTTCTTCTCAAGTGGGGGCCAAATTTTCACGACATTTGCTATGACATAATATCCACTATAACAAAATTTGTGGATCATGACATTTGCCATGACATAATATCTACTATTAGGACAAGGATTTCTTGCTGTAAATAGAGGAGCTTCTCCTCATTTGTAAACATACCAATTCAAGAGTTTTTCACTCTTGTCTTTCTTTCTCCTCCTTTATTATAGAGTATTTTTGTAAGAGAGTGAGTGTTGGAAAATACTTGTGTGAACCCTTTCTTTAGAGTGATCTTGTGAGGTAATTCTCTTGGGGTATTTGGGAATTAGAGTATTTACTCTAATTTTATACTCTCTTTTGTACTCTTGTTGGTATAGTAAAATTGCTCCTCTCCGCATGTGGACGTAGGTCACCTTGACCGAGCTACGTTAAATTTGTGCCTTCTTTATCTTCTTTAATTGTCGTTATTATCAATTTGCATTGTCTTTGTTATTGTCATCATAACATTCTTTGGCTAAATTCCGCACTACCGATTTTCCGATCCTAACATATGGTATAAATTGAATCGTTTTTACTCTATATTAACTATATGAGGTAAAAAAAATGTTTGTTTTTCATAGTATATCATACTCTTCAATGAAAAAGAAAAGTTTAACTTCTATAATGTAAAATATATTTTACACTATCAGCTCCGATAAATAGTAATTATAAGTAATCGTCCATAAATAACAGAATAGTGATACAAAAATAAAATATATTACCTGCTACAATAAATTAAAATACACCGGTAAGTTTTATAAAAAATTAAGTATACAATTATATAATATAAGCTAAATTCACAAAGAAAATCTGCATCTTGTTGGATCAATTTTCCGGCAGTGTGAATACCCTCTCACGATATTCCTGGTTCAGGGTTTAGTGACCTGTTTGTAATTTGTAATTAATTAAAATTAAGTGCATCAGCTTGGACTTAATTAGTATATTATGAAACCTAGCTAGGAAGCATGTGCTCATAGGAACATTTGGCTGCTTCAGAATGCACCACTTCTATGGACCACTTTCTTTTTCTGCCCACGGCGATTTGTACGGTATTCGTACCGGAGCCTCGACTAGTTTGGATATGTGTTGTATAACGTCAATTAAAGAAAAAAAAACAGTTCTTATCAATTTTTTTCTAATTTCATGGCTCGTACCCAAGATCTGTATGAGGGTGAAGGAATATTTTATGCATGACTATCAATGATTTACAAAAATTTCTTCATCATAACGTGTGTGTATATATATATATATAAAGGGGAGACGTGGATCATCTTTGTGTGACCTATAGGTCACGAGTTCGAGTTGTGGAATTAGCCACTAATGCTTGTATCACAGTAGGTTGCCTACATCACACTCCCTTAAGATGCGGCCAGAGGCGGACCCAGGATTTGAGCGCGACGGGGGCACCACTAACCTTAAATATGCCAATAATTAACGATAAAATTCTGTGTGCACTTCTTTAAGAAATTAATAAGTATGACAACTTATCCGCAATATATGAACAACCAAAAATTTTTAAAGAAAGAAAAAGTATTAAGCAAAGAGTGAAAGATTATTTTGTAAAATAGGTGCTATAGGAATTAATGTTGATAGAAGCGGTGTCGCCCAACACTGCTTCGTTAATTTTTCTTATATATATAGGTAAGTAATATGCAAAAATAAACATTGTTATCAATACTTTGATATAAAATATTTTGACAAAAGTGATTTTCAAAATGTAAAAGAAAACAAAAGAAGAAAGTACAAAATGCTAATTTTGCTGGAATTGGGTCTCGAACACGAGACCGAATGGTGAGGAAAGCTGGGAAAGTGGTGAAACTAGCAGTTCAACCACGGCTGCCGTCCAATTTTTGTTTTTTTAAGGGGTCCAAGTAAATTATTTAAGGGGTCCTATCTGAATATACAGTACACACAAGATCTATATATACATGATTTTTGCCGAGCCTAACAGGTTCCGGTGACCCCCGCACACTCCACTGTAGGTCAGCCTCTGAATGCGGCCCTTCCCTAAACCTTGTATGAAAGCGTGCGGGAATGCTTTGTGCACTGGGTTGCGCTATTTGTTTTTTAACGTATATATAAAAACTATTTTTTATTCATCTTGTTTGTCCTATATGCTTAATTACATTAGTATAATATGTACATGAATCTGACACTCAAAACAACAGCCAGCTGTTTCATATTCGAGTATGGACTATCTAAATATCGTTCTTAATATATACTATATAGTTGGCGCGACTGCAGCATTTCGCTGGTTGTTTCCTGCACGAATCACTCACATACACGTGTTGTCGCCGGTTATCACAATTCGACTTGTATGTGAATTTGGTTTTAGAAAATTCTTTAGACTATCGTATATAAATACTTACGGTTTTAAAAAAAGAAATTAACGAAATACCGAAAGACATGATACTTTGTACAAAGCTGTCTCTGCCACTATACCCAGAGGCGGATCCAGGATTTTGTCGTCGTGGAGGTACCATGACTTTTAATATAAATTTATCACTACTCATAAAGATTGATAGGGGCCTATGTTCTTGAAGACATTTACAAATATACGTGAAGTTTTTATCGAAGTTTTCGAGTGCCGATGACCCTTCTCCTTATAGTGTGCGTCCGCTTCTAACTGCAGCCACACATGCTACGGAACCCGTTTAGTACAAATCGTAGATCTGACCTTTGCATGAAAGTAAGTGAGATTTCTACCACCAAGTTGGACGGATAGGATCTATCTACCTGAGTTCAAGTATCTGAAATGAAAAAATTCCTAGTACTGAACGTTTTCTCTTTTAATGAGACAAATGCAGCACAAATCTGAATTAATTGAGGCTCTAATACGGGTACTAGTAAAATTTCTATAGCTTAGTTATAAGTCAAGAATACGACATGGCCTCTGTCGCAATGTTTCCACTGGACTGGGACCCAGACAGACAATTAAAGAGTTGCGCATAGTTTAGGATTAATTTCAAACTTGAAAATAGACGTGCAGAAACTAAAGACAGAAATATAACATTTGACTAATTGGAATATTGGATATGACAGAAAAGGAACAAATGGAAGAAAGAAGAAAATTATTTGCTGGCACCTGTTTGATTCCTCCTGTTGGCCATTTATGCGAATTCATTTCTAAGACTTGTCTCTAAGGAAAATATCACAATTCGGATCGCAATTTCACGAGTTTAGATCTCAATGTATGATAGTCAAAGAATCACTATTCGAATCACGATTTTTAGATTTTAGATAAGCTCTTGTTAAATAACTGAGAAAGGAAAAGTAAAATAACTTTTTATGACTAGAAATTGTCTGGATTTTATTGGCAATGACGCATTGACAACCTAGCCCAACCATTTGACATTCCAACAGTGAAGCAATTTTTTCCAACAATAAAGGGACTACTAGAATTAATCCCTTTTTTTCACCTTCCAACACAAATACACAATTGTAAAGAGAAACAGAAATAGCGTAAATGATGAGTTTTGCTTTAACTAGGACTTTAGTTAAATGTAAGGCTTCGAGGAAGATGACATATAAAATTGGCATTTCACAAATTGCGAAAGAAAATTCATGTGTTAAAGAGTTTCGAACAATCTGATAATATGTTAGCAGCAGAACAATACAAAATTAATCATTGAAACATCAAAATTCAACAGTTTAGCCCCATCGAATCATCTCTATACGGATGCAAGCATTCAAAACATAGTATTTTTCTAAAATTTTCAGATGAGATGAGCATGGAAGCAACAAATAATTAATATTTGACTATCATGAGAACTGCATAGACCATCAAAAGAGCCCCAGTTCAGAAGCAATACATTAACAATTTGGTTCACTATGAAAGGTATAAAAACAAACGGGGGTGTGCTTCACTTTGCTCTCATTTTATTTTCAGACAACTAAACTTTTACGTTACATAATAATCTAGCTCTTCATTTTCATTTCTACATTATTGACTCTTTCCTTGTCCACTGCACTTCAACTGACCAGAGTAAGGAGATAACAAAGCAACAAACTCAATGAACGCCCAATAGCATTGCTGAGCTTACAAGCGCGACTTGGCTGGATCCATTGTAGAACTCTGCAACGACAAGGAAACATCAATGGCCTGAATATATCAGTAAATATTTTCAAGCGGGTGAACAAGGGAAAGGTTTAAGTTAAGATAAGATGAAAAGCCATTGCTTGCTCTTTTTCTAACAATGGATGATTTCACCCCATATTGATGAGATTTGTTTCTTTATATGGAAAACTTTACATCCAAACCCCTTACCCAGGAGCCTAACAGTCGCTCTTTCCACTTTGTTATATTATTGACTCGAACTCCCTACCTAGTGTTTTTATAGATGGGTTTTTTTTACTATAAGGCATCTCTCTCTTGTCTAATGATGAGATGTTTTTTCGTACTCCGCATTTGATGCATCTGGTTACTAACTACCAGTTGCTAATGATAACCATACCCGCTAGTCCACACACTAATCAAGGATCATCTAGTGGCATCATTTATAGTGCTTTTACGTGACTGCTAATGTGACCTTGCCATCGAGCAGCGGAGGATGTGTGCCAATGAAATGATGGCATAAGGCTGAACTGAATTGTATATACTGCTAATATATGCTGGCTGCAGCCAGCAAATGGTTCCCTTGTCCAGTAAGCCAACAACGGAAACAAGACATGTCCATTCAAACCTCTCACAACATACGCATAGAACAAAAGGCTGATACTTGAAATTGTTGTGGCAGGATAACATCAGAGATCTAATGGCAACACTATTCAAATGTACTCACAGATATGTTTTACCGACATGAGATTGTCTCGAACATTTCACTACCTATATGGATACCGTACCATATAATGATAATAGAACTCAAGATACTCACCAGAGGAGCCCCCTTGGCAGCTCTTTCAGCTAGGTAGGAACAAGGCTTGAAAAAGTCTCCATACATTCTTGACCACTCATCCAACCTTGAACAGATGTATTTGGAACCAAGAGTGTCTGCCCAGAATATGATCCCTCCCCTGGCAAAGAAAGTAAACAAATCTTTCTTATAACCAAAGAATCCTTATATCATAAATTTTAAATCTGTTTTAACATGTTCCTGTGATAGAATTTACACTTTTTTTTTTGGGGGGGGGTTAAGATAATCAGAAAATCTATCTGAGGCGAACCTGTAAGGGGGGAAACCCATGCCCATGACAGCAGAAATGTCAAGATCAGAAGCTTTGACTGCAATGCCTTCTGCAAGCACTCTGCAGGCTTCATTTACCACAGGGAAGAAAATCATCTCTATAATATCCTTGTCCGAGAGTTTTGCCAGCTGGGTCAAGTTCAAAACAGTTGAGTAAGAGCAGAATATAACTACTGGAAAATACCACAAAAGTAGTATTCATCAACAACNGCACAAAGTGTAACCAATGTCCATTCATAAATATATGTTTCAAATTGCATTTTTTTTCACTAAATAATCTGTCCGGTTTTTCAGAATATGGGAATCATACCAGCTCTTTTATCTTCTTGCATGAGTGGTATCAACATTGATTTGTAAGTTCTCTCGGGGAAAGTCATCACGAATTGCCCACCAGTGGCAATTGCAACACCAAAACCAACAAGATCACATAATCTGCATATAGGAAACCAAACCTTTAAAGCCTGGTTACATCCAACAGATTGGCATATCAAACCCTACAGCACTGTTATCTTTTACCTGAAGGGGCCCATTGGCATGCCAAATCTAGTAATGGCCTTATCGATGCGGTAGACATCTGTTCCACGTTCAACTAGCAAAAGAGCAGCTTGGGTGTAAGGAAAGAACATTCTGTTGACAGCAAAACCAGTGCAGTTCCCAACTACCACAGGGGTTTTCCTTATCTTCTTGCCAACATCAAGCAAGTCTACAATTACTTGGGGTGATGTCTTTTGGGTGCGGACAATTTCCAAAAGTGGCATCACATGAGCCGGACTGCACCAGCCAATCAATCAATTTAGCAGAACAAGAAAAGGGCAATAAAAGCTTTCACTGTTTCAGAAAACATTACCTGAAAAAGTGAGCTCCAATAATACGATCTTGAGATTTGGTCTTTTCCCCAATCAAATTCAAGTCAATCGTAGAAGTGTTACTTGCTAGAATGCAATGTGGAGGGCAATACTTCTCAAGATCGGCAAATATTTGCTGCTTTAAAGATACATTCTCGATGACAGCCTGTTATACATATTAAGATCAAGGCACAATAAGATACCAACGAGAATCACAGAGTGTGTCCTATTAATGAGAATACCGACCTCAATGACCATGTCCACATCTCTAAAACCTTCATATTCAAGAGAACCCTTGAGTAGGGAGAGGGTTTTTTCACACTTCTCTTGACTCATTTTCCCTTTCTTGACGCTGCTTTGCAAATTGGCTGAGAAATTGATGTATTAGTCACTTGTCATAACAAGTATAAGTTATCATATCAAAGCAAGACAATGGCTTTACCTTTTACTCTACCCATCCCAGCCTGTAGGAATTTGTCATTAACTTCTTTCAAGATCACCGGATAGCCACTAAGCAGCAGTGCAGTTGCAATTCCAGAACCCATTAAACCACCTCCAAGAATTGCAACCTTTTTTATGCGTCGTGGTACCAATCCTAAGTCAGTCACCCCTGGTACCTGTTTGTGTGAGAAAAGAAGTTGGCAGAATCAATAGGTCAGGGTTTAAGATGATGAGGATGAACAATATCACAAACTGTCTGGCATGCAAAGCGTCAGATTCATTGTTTAATGTTACAAGTATCAAATTATGCAGCAACCGATCATCATAGCCTAACATATTCAACCAACAATACAACTGTTGCACATATATCATGTATAAACCATGCAACTGAAAAGTCTACTAATTTCTGGCAAAAATATAGCTTCAATTAGGTCTGGATTACAGTCAAACAACGTCATCTAGTGTTGAATAAGCTTTGTATTATCAAACATTGGGTCCATTACAGCATTACTCAGATTAGAAGTTTCTGCTCAGATCCATACTTTGCAGGATCATCCTAACTCTATTAATTGATTGTTCTTTCTACATTTACCAAGTGGAATACCAAAGTAATATTTACTTTTCTAAAGAGTTTAGATATCAAAGAAGTGACCCTGAATTGGTACCAATATGAACTCAAAGTGAATATTCAGTTCCGTTTAAATAGGAATACAAAAACAAATTAAAATTATGAACTGCTATTCACAACCAGGTTGAAATATGTGCAATAATTTCAATGTAAAGAATTAACTCATTAACCTTTGTGGTTCCACGTTGAGCAAAGAAAATGTTGACCAAGGCCTTGCAAGTGTCTGAATGTAGAAGACCTTGGAATGCTTCAGCCTCCTGAAAATACCAACAAGTTTTTAGATTACACAAGTTAGGTGATTAGACTGAAAGCACAAGAGAATTAGTGCCTGAACTAAACCTTCCAAAGCCCAGCACGTGGACCAGACACTATACCCTCTTCAACAACATCAATGCAGACTAACGGATGCTGGAGATTTGGAGCCTGTCTGCGCGTTTGAACTCTTGCAAACTTTAATATTTCCCTTGCCTCACCAAGAGGCTCTATCTTATCAGTTTTATGAAGACTGGCAACCCAAGGTTTTCTGCGTTCCAAAATATCAAGAGCCCACTTACGAGCAGTATCCAATAATTGGTTTGATGAAACTACAGCATCAACAAGGCCCACATTAAAAGCTTCCTCTCCTTTAACGGGCTTGGACGTCTACATTGATATATGAGAGGGAGAGGGTCAAGTAACTATAGTGCCAAAACATATGACTCATAAGGCAAATGGCAGCTTACTAGCATCATTTCGAGGGACTTAGCAAGACCCACGAGGCGTGGAAGCCGCTGAGTACCTAAAAGATAGTGCAGATAAAATGAAACAAAGGAAGAAATGTGGTGTTTGAGAAAAAAACACAGTGGTAGCAGTACTGCTTATGATTGCAATTATATGTTTTGGATCCAAGGATAAACAATAAATGAAGACAGAGAATTCCAAGCTGTTCCATTCAAATTTCTAGGATTTTACGAGTGTGTCTATGAGGACACATCTTGCTCTAAAGCTAGAATCATATGCACTAGTCTACGAATAAACCACACCAAATTCTAGACCATGTATGTGTATCGTACTAGTATCTGATAAAGTATGCTTGGATAAACTGGATATGTATTTTAATTTCATGAAACCTTTTTTCGCCAGCTTAGTTTCTTCTTGAGGGTCACCAGACGAACTTCTTTTAATGGCCACAATGAAGTTTTTGAGAGATAATTATCCAGTAATTTTGATAAGGAGAGATAAATATCCTGTCATACGAAGAAGTTTTAGAAATTAAACACTCCAAGGTGTATTCTCCAAATTCTAGCAGTGATCAAGAAGTCGAAGCTACGGCTTAGATATTTCAATTTCTATTTATGTAATGTTAAGCTAGAGTTGGACATTAAGGTTAGGTTATGGCTTGATATCCTGAACATACTTGACTTCACAGTTACTGATTCTTTGAAAAAGAATCAAAAATTCAGTCATGAAACTGGAATTAGTAAAACTATAACGCTCGTAATTTTTTCAAATTTTTATAATAATGATGTGTAAGTGCTTCTCGAAATATTAATTTTATTTTAGGCTATCTAAGACAAAGTTTTAACAGAAAAAAGGCTGTATAACTTTGTACAGTCCCCCCTAATTTTATAAGAAAATAAGAGTGGAAGAAGTATAAGATACAACGCTCATACAGGAGCTAACTATGTGCTCCTTCACTATAATAGAAGAAGAGTTGTACAAGCTTGATTTTAAGAAGGAGAAAAACCATAACCATATTAGCATTTATGTCACCGAAGCTGATGGTAGATTCAGGAAAAAATGAAGATAAAATAACTGCTCAAGCATAGAGTGCTTACCTCCAAATCCAGGAAGTATTCCAAGTTGAAGTTCTGGCAATCCAAGTTGTGCATTGGGAGTAGAAATACGTGCATGACAAGCCTGATATTAAAACACAAGGAGTCAGCAAATGACCAACAGAAATTTCCGCAGAGAAATATAACCTTTTAATGTACCATTGCAACTTCTAGTCCTCCACCTAGAGCGAGACCATCAATTGCCGCCACGGAAGGTTTTCTTGCAGCTAACATCAAGGATAAATCAGAAAATATAAAAACAACGTATAAACTGCACCCAATTGTTTACTTCAAGGAGGAAAATCAAAAGCCTAAGACTTACCTTCCACAGTGTCGGTGAGAATCTCCACAGCTATAAAACCAGGTTTTGGTGATTCGACTGTCAGCAGACTGAAGTTAGCTTAAAAAACTCGTGCAGCACTAGAATAGAGAATAATCAAATTGGAAAGCATACCTGTTCCTCCTTGCAGTTTACCAAAGGCACTGATATCAAAACCACCAGAGAACTTGCCATTTGCACCTGTCAAAGATTAGATATTCAAGCTTAATATATCAGCCAATCGGATATATATAGAGACTGATTTCTTGACATTTACCTGTCACAACAATTGCTTTCACATCATCCCTTTTTAAGGCCTGCTCATAGCTCTCTTTCAAGCTGTACAGCACTGGAAAGAAATTGCAATAGTATAAAGGTCAATTACTGGTTCAAACTATTGAGCATCGGATTTGGAAAACTATGAAAGTATATTTTATTTTCCTTTTTAGTAAGAAGAAAAGGAAAAGCAAGCTTTTCTTATACAGTTCTTCTGACCTCTCTTCCAAAATTTAACTCGAGAAAGAAGTACTCCCTTCGTCCCAATTTCTGTGGCACTGTTTTACTAGACACGGAGTTTAAGAAAGAAAGGAATACTTTTGAAATTTGTGGCCTAAAAGAAGCCTTAGATATTTGTGTGGCTAGAAATCTTCTCATTCGGGGCAAAGGGGGAACTTTTATTTTTAATTTTTTTTCTAAATATAGAAAAGTAACATTCTTTTGGGATAGACTAAAAAGTAAAGAGTGTCGCATAAATTGGAACGGAGGGAGTAAGTTTTATTAGCACTCTCTCAGTTACATTTACCGTATATTGCCGTATAACAGAATGTCAATCAACTCACTTCAATCCAAAATTAATTGGATTGGCTATAAGAATCATTTATATTCATTTCCCTCTAAAACACATACCTTATAACACAGGCATTAGATCATCACAAACCTTCGGACATACTTGTACGAAAAGAACTTCCACAATCAACACTAAACAAAAGAAGCTGCAGCGAAGCTCAAAGGAAACTACCAAGTGTGTGCGGATCGTATAGCATATATATCTAAAAGCTCCATAAGTCTTGTAAGCTATATGCGGAGGGGCACATTTTCGTCTATGAAATAGTCATAATAGAGTCGTCAATTCCTTACTCGCTTCACTATATCACATTTCAAATATCCTACAATTCCTACCAGACGATGTTCATTGTTTGTCCTTTTCAATTCCTCCTTTTAGAAATTATAGTCCTAATTGCCCCAATTGTCTTTTGTTATGTCTCTCAAAAAATCCACCAAATAGATTACAGTAGCTAACAGTGACGCTCTAGCTTGATCTTAAACATCAAAGTAAGATTTGCCTCAAAATATGCCAAACCAAAGCAATGGGACTGATAAGATTCATTTGCACCGAGCGTTGCTCGCACTGAAAATTAAAAACTAAACACCAAAAAGGAAATACTAACACACACCCCAAAGAACACACATCAAAGACACAGTAGTTTTCACATCAAAAAGTGAAACTTAATAAGAAGCAAACTGAATTGAGAATCTCTGTTAAGAAAAAAAATGACTTTGAAGTAGAATTAGAATAACGTCTCAAACAAAAAGTAAGAATTTTGCTACTTTAAAATGCCAGTTTTTCCCGCAAAATAAAAGAAACCACACAAGTTTAAATTTTGAAATAGTTCCTGATCATATCGACCTTCGTCTATACGAGTTTTGCATAGCCTGTTATATAAAATAGTATAATAAATCCTCTAAGCCCGAATAGAGCTGAATGAATCAAAATTAGTCCTATAAGTGGCCCCAATTTTTTTTTTAAAAAAACACTGATAGTATACATATAATATACATATTTTCTACACTTTTTGGCTAGGAATGCAATTAGTTTTGGCGGACCGGCCAATTTCTAATATTTCCCCAGGTGCCGGTGAGAGGTTAGCATGTACATGGTGCACTAGTTGAGATGCGTGTACGGAAAGAAACATAACGAGAAAATATTGGTGATCATTTGAAGAAAGAGGAAACATAACAATCATTCAAAACAATTAATCAAAATAACGCCTCAATCACAAACAAGTTAAATTCAAATTTCATAAATCTTCTGTATTTTTTCGTTCTAGCTCAAGGAAATTAGTAAACAGAGTATTGATCAAAGTTCGACTATTTTATCAATAATTGTAAAAAATGATAATTTTTGAATTTTTTTTTTTTTTTTAAAAAAAGGCTTAGTTAGATCTGTGGAGTGTTTTACGTACCATCTAAGGAAAGGGAATTGACAGGAGGATTAATAATTGTAATAACAGCAACTCCATCAGCTCCTACTTCAATTGTTGTTCTTCCCTTTGGATTGCTACTCATTTTTTGCTATGAAACTGAAAAATTCCGATGAATTTTTAGCACAGAAGATCGGAGAAAGTGATCGGAGAAAATGAATGAAATTATTGAGAGGGTTTTAGAGAAGAGAGAGAGTGGTATTTATGGAAAGAGTAATGTCGTGACGGTACCGTTAACAATGACGTAAGACTGCGTTTGGATGCAAATCCCCATAAGTAACAAAGATAAGGATTGTGACAGATAATTTACATCAATTTTCAACGAAATATGTCCAAATTTGCCCCTGTGATTATGGATTGCTCAATATTACACGATTCATTTATATCTTTATTATTAGCAAATTATTTAGTGTTTGTCTTATCATTAACAAGCTCCAGCATGAAATTAATAGACTTTACATATTTAAATTTTTCGGCAAAAATTCTAAATTTACTCAATAACTTCGGACTAACAAGAGACAAAAATGAGATTGTTTCATGATAGTATAATAAGATGAGATTATAAGTTTAATCAATGACAAAATTGCTCGATTTTAAATATATAAATAAATTTATCCATTTTTTCTATATTAAAACTGCCACATATAGGGGGCCGGAGCTAGTATGCAGGATATAAATTTGCTCGACTTTAGTAATTTTAATTTTTTTGTTTATCTTAAGAAATTTATTAAATAAAATTATTAATTTAAAAATTAATAACATTAATCTAGCAAATCTAAAAATATTTCACTTTTTTTTTGGTTTGTTATAAAAATTCTAATTTGGTCCAAGGTCCAACCAAAGAGATGAGATTAATTAGAAGATAGAGTATGGGAGTCCGCGGGCGATAGTTCCAAAGCTCACACATCCCTAGGCATTCGTAGGCCATTATTTTTCTTCTTAATAATTCCTGTTGGTTTTCAATTACATTTCGGCAAATTATCAACAAGAGTTAAATATTGAGTCCAAAAAAAATAATGATGCTGGAATTTATTTATAGCCTGTTTAGTCGTGCTTTTAAAATCAATTTATTTTAAAATATATTTTTTTCAAAAAAAACGGCTAAACATACTATTAGTCAGTAGTCACTATGGTCATAGGCAGATGTAGTTACTATCAATAAGAGTTAAATTTGTGATTGTAAGGATACTGATAGGCTTAGATAATATTTCGGTTGATATTAATAAAAAAGTATTTGAACTTGAAACGGAAAATTTATGGAAATTGAATTTATGTTTGGATATCAACTTTATTTAAACAGTAATTTGTGGAAATTAAAAATCCGCAAGTGAAAATTATTATTTCATAGTTCATACACCTTCAATAAAGTTTTTTTTTATTGTTACGCATTAAATTTTGAAGTTCAATTTTTATAAATACTCATGACAGGTTTTATTTAGACATAATGTGGTTCGTTTCATTCTTCAACATATAACTAGTGTAATTGCCCCGCGCGAAAAAATTAAATATAGTTTAATAGTATTATAATAATTTTTACAATTGAGACATCTTAGCTTTTATTATTCTATCATAATTTCATGATTATTTTAATATCCTATACAGTTTCTTTGACAGAAAGAATACATGAGAAACATTTTAGGTTAAATATTGGAATATGTGAGAAACATAGAAAATAAAAATATAATGACAAAAATGATAATGCTGTAATCTTGGAGATATAAACCTGATATATGCCACCCGCTTTTTTATTCTTCGTCTCAAGTCTCTCTCTTAGAATTTTCTTAATATGAATTGTTGACACTCATATTTCATAAGATTGATCTTTTTTTACTCAATTAAATTTTTAAGAAAATGGTAAAAAGGAAGGGAAACAAAAAATAGAAATAGAAACAAAAAAGAAATGAAAAGACAAATATTTTACATGTATTCTTTATTGGGATAGAATCTTCCTACCCACAATTTCTCTATTCAAGAGTTCGAACTCATTGTCTCTCTTTTTCACAATTGAATAAATATTTCACTCTTTTATTGTCCATATAATAGCCTCATTTATGCAAATTTGTTGTTATATTTTAGAAAATTTGCTCCTTAATGTACCTTTTAGTATTCCAAATTAGTGTAACCCCCTTCCACTCAATTAGTCTTTATCTAATATCTTATTATTATTTATTTCTCTTATTCATGTTAGAACTTAGCAATATTTAAAATTCAATATGTAAGGTGGAACGTGATTAATTCTCTAATCAGGAAAAAAATAAAAATATAAGGGAAATGTAAAAAATAAAATGAGAGAAAAGGTAAATACATTTCTTGATACATGAGAGATGCCGTCGTTCACTTTTAGCATGCCACTTAGTAATATCTAGAGATCTAATAATATCACTGGGTACTTGAAATGAAAGGAAAATGTAGTTCCATTACTCAGACAATCATTAACTATGTGAAATTATTGAAGTCAATTTTCTTTTATTTCAAACAAGAAAGTCACTCAATTATTTATGTTGCACTTTAATAATCACTCAGCCAGATTTATTAATTTTTTCGATAGAAAATATTGATTTGGCAGTCTACGTGTACTTTTGGACTACATAAAATAATTAACGCCAAAACATAATATAAAATCCACTCATACACCAATCCGTCTCGATCCGACCCTTTATAAGAAAGAGCATTGTAAGATTTTTTGGTGGATTTTTATCTTTATAAACAGTTTGAATCGGGTGTATGGATGGGTTTACATGCTTTGTTCGGATGTTAATTATTTTATATGGTCCAAACGTCTATGTGGACTGCCAAGTTAGCATTTTTCACTGGAAAAATCAAAAAATTTGATTGAATGATCATCATAGTGCAATACGGATTCATACGTATGTGACCAAACAACACATAGGTATAGATTCTATCTAGGCATGATAAGCATTTACATGTTGATTTTAGGAGTCAAACAACAATCTTTTGATGGAAAATCATATTATGGTGGGTGTTATAAGAAAAATCAAATTATGGTGGATGTCTACTCTTCCTCCATGATCTTCTCAAATGCTTAATGACATATTCAGTGGCATATTTCTATGTTTAATGATATATTCAATGACATATTTTTCTTCACTTTTCATACCTATATAAAAGTCTTGCAATAGATAGGAAAATACACACAATTAAAGAAGAAATAAGAATTTCTCCTCTCTTTCTCTCTATATCTCTTAGCTTGTGTTTCCTTGTTCTATATTGTTACTTTGAGCTATATTTTATAACATCAGAGACTTTATGTCTAATTATCAAACAATTTCTTTTCTACTACTCCACATTCCCCCCANAATTAAACTTGAAATAGCTGATAGACTGCTAAAAAACATCACTAAATTTGTACAGTTGATTGTAATCTTATGATATCTTGTTATTAAGTAAACTTTCTATCTTTAGATTAATAGTAATCATTTCTAAGACAAGAGGAAGGAATATATTATAAAATAGTTATCATAAGGAATTTTAAAATGTTATGAGATTGTGATCGACTGATCGAGAACATAGTAAGTATTTCATATACATAGTTAAATTTATTAAACAACTTTTCAGAAATAATGAGTCTTAAAACTTTTCACAATTAGGTACTATCTAATTTATGTTATAGTTCAAAGCTTTTTCTTTTTGTGAAAATTAAGTATGTGTGAATACCTAATTTTTGCACTATTTTAACACCTCCAAAAGTCATTAGTGTTTTGTTACTTTAGTTATTTTTCTCAATTTTTGTGTCTTTGATTGCATATTTCCTATCATAAAAATACCAAAAAATAGTTCTTTCTTTATTTGTGCATTTTAGGAATTAACTAATTATTTCAATTGGTGAATTAATCTAGTTAATTGATTATTTGAATAAGTTACTTAATTAATTTATTTATTTGTGTAAATTTAGTTTAATAAGTAGGATTAAGGAAGAAATTGGGCCAAATTTGAAATGAAAAGTGGCCAAACGTGCAAGATAAGGGGCTGCCATTGAAAGGGTCTGGCAAAAACTACGTCGTTTCATTAAGTGACCCAAGATCAAATCTCACACATTGATCACCCCTTGATCTAATGGTTCATATTTGATCTCTCAAGAGGTATTTAAAGCCTCAAAAATCTGAAAAATTCCTTCATTTCCCCATAACTCTTTCTCTCTTCTCTCTCTCTTCTCTCCGCCGCCGCCACCGGTGGCGGCCAACCTCCAAACACCCCCAAATTCACACCATGTAATCTCCACAACCTCCTCTTTCCATATCTCCAAACCAAATCCTTCAAACCCCCCTCAAACTCCTTGAATTTTAGATTTAGGAAACTTTAGTCTCCACTTTTTTGCCCAAAACCTTGAAGTTCCGGCCACTACCACCCCCACAATACCTACATCAACAGATAGAGCTCATCAAGACCTACCTATTGATGTCAATTCCATCCCGAAAATTCGGCAACTAAAAATCCGGCGACCACCCCGAACGCCCTCGTTTGGTATACCCCTATTCTCGTTTCCTTTGTCTATTTTTTCTAATTGTATTGTATTTAGCTAGCATAATTTATGGTTTTTTTTATTTATTTATTTATTATTATTATTATTATTTATATTATTTATATTTTTATTATTAGTTGTATTTAATCTATGTTAGCTTAGTCGTTCATAGTTATTAATCACTAATAATTAGTTATTCATTAGTTTTGAAATATCTATTCACTTAGTTATGATAGTTTATGATAAAAGTTTCAAATGCTTAGTGAATTTGTTTTTATTGGATTTGAGTATTTGAATTTTGTGTTGATAAAAGCTAAAATTAAAGAAAGAATAGTACAAGTTTGGTTATTTTTACTGTGCAAAGACTTTGGAGTGCAAAACTCAAAAGTCATTGTGTGGTGACAAATACAATACTTTTTGACAGCTTTTGAACAGTGTTTAGCACACAAAGTCAGTCTTTTGGACAGACTTTTGGTGAACCAAAATCTGTCCAAAAAATCTGATTTATTTGCCTATTTAAAGGGCTATCCTTACTCACTGAAGAGGACACATACTCGATCTTACACTGGGACACATCTTGGAGAGTTGTTTAAAGACATATATATCTTTGAGAAAAATCAGCAGCTTAATACATATACCAAGCTGAAATTTCAGAGCTTTGTGAGTATTATTTGAGTGCAAAAACTTTGAGAAAAATAGAAAGATCCCTTAGGCAATTTGTGAAGTTGAT